ATTTTATGAATGCTGGTCATCTCAAAGTAAATGTACCTTATGGCCATGCGGGTACAATTACATTATTATAATGACTACTCAAAAAGTTCACGAGGTTTTAGAGATTAGAAGCAATCCTGCAAATGCCTGTAAGTATACGAATGTGTGATCTTATTATACCTTCCCTCAAAAAAATTCACATGATCGTTGGACTTCAAGATTTTATAGTCTTGAGGTAATTTGCAATGTGTCATCAAACAAATTTGGAGAAAATTTGGAAAAAGTCGTGCTATCGCGCCGATAACACCCTCCGAGATCTGCATAATAATTCTTCATATATACGAAAGCCGAATCCAATAATTGTTTTATTGTTCATTCAAAATCACCCTGATTTATGTTAGGTTCCCGTCTTCATTTGTGTGTACGTCGGCAAATTCAGAATGTTGCGTCTAGCAGATATTCTTAAAGTTAGGTAGAAGTTGTGATCAGTTGACTTGCGTGGTAGTTTGGCTGTCGTGGCAAAAATGATTCTATTCGTGGTGTTTTAAATTTCATCTCAAATTAAAATTTAATTTTCAATTTCCATGAATAGGTTGGGTAGCACACGTTTTGGCCAAACGTAGGGACAGCCAGTTACCATCCTTATGGCATATGACTTCATGTCATTTGAGGCAAAACAAAATTTTAGTTTTCTATTTTTGAAAATGAGCTTCTCTCGCGAGTAAATTATTAAACAAATTTTATAAGACAAGCATAAAAATGTAACTTTATTTGTCGCTGTTTTGAAATCTAATTTTTTTAGTAAATTTTAAAATGGAAAGCCATCATGGCTACTACTTTGGATGACTAGTATATGGCTTACCTTATTTTGATAATTCTCTTTCTTTTCGGACGTTGTAACTCTTTCATTCAAAATTAATTTCAAATGCATTTGCTATAATTCCTTACCTGAAAAGTGTTTAATTTTTAGTCATGTAATTAAAGTCATAAAAATGAAGCTGTCTTTTGCTGAGTTGTCCTTTTTTTCATCGTAACCTGAATTTCTCTTATTATCTAATAAAAGGAAACTCTTTCTAAGGCCCGGTTTTTATGACGAAACTTGTCCTGAGCAGAATGGGCACCGTGTACATTTCCTTGGCGGACCGTTGTCACTCAATTCTATGCTTGAGTTGATTGGCTGGGAGCAAGGGCGACCTTCTTTCGAAGACAAAAGTAGGAACGTTAAGATCCGAGGACGGCGACAGCGACGGCAGAGAAAACGTGGCTTAAAAAGTGATTTCGCGTTCTTTCAATCTTCATCGCGATTACTCCAACTCGCTACCTTCTCAAATGTAATGGAACCAATCCAAGTTCAGAAAGAAAAAGAAGAATTTCATCGTCGCCTGTTTTCGTCCTCCACAAAACGTGAAATTAATACAGAAAAAGTGTGCCGCTCGTAAATAGTTTAAAATGTTTAAAATATTCAATAATGATTGTCCGACGTACCTTCGGGAGCAGTTTCATAGAACCTCTGAAATTCATGACTATAATTTGAGGGGTTCTAACTATGATCTCCAACTACCACTACCTAAAACAAATTTTCTCAAGCGCTCATTTTCTTATCGGGGTGCAATGGCTTGGAACCAACTGTCAAATGAAACACGTGAGATGGGGGATTTTACTAGCTTTAAACTCGCCATATCTTAGGATATAACTTTTATCATGTTTTTATCTTATTTCTAATACTTATTTCTTGCTGTTATATTGTATTGTTAGTTAATCACTAGTCTTAATTTTTATAAATTGTAATTATCACACGGCATGTCTAAAAACCAGCTTGCTGAGCCATTTACCGTGTTTAAATAAAGTTAATTGATTGATTGATAGTTGTTTTTTTGCTCTCCCTCCCCCTCCCCCCCATTGCTTTTCTTGACGTCCTCGTTGCCGAAGGCCGGGTCAGATCTTAGGTAAACAACTCCTTACAAGACAACGTTTTATTGTTATTTTACAGATGAAAGCGACAGTCAGCGTAATGCTACTTTTTGTCGTTGCTGTTTTTACCGTGGCCAGTGGCGCGTCAGACAAAAACTCCACAGACGAGGATCAGCTCATATCCATCTTAAACCAAGACGAACCAAACCGTTTAGCTTGCATGCCGCTTTGTTTCCCTACCGACGTCATGGGCGGCAAACGGGAGTATGTTGAGAGACCTGCAGAAGTAAATGAAGGCGAACATTCAGCCAGAGCCTTTAACAAACTTCGTCGCTGGTTAGAGGTTAAAAATATTCCCTCATCTCCGTCGGCCAGTTCTAGTTTGGTCGCCAGAAAACTGGGGTTAAGGGGGAACGAAAGGCACGGGAATCGCAAGGTTTTCATAGACGTGAGACGGCAGACAGTAGAAGTGACAGGCAGCAAGCCTTTCGAAGCAGTTTTTCATGACCATCGACGAAGGAAAAACAGGTAAGTTTTTAGCCTGCGAAAACAGCCTAGATTTCGCCATTCCACTACTGGTTTCGCCGCAAAATGACTTATGATGAACGACTCCAGAAATTCCATACTGATGACTTGTTACCCAGCGAGGAACGATTGCAGAAATCCCATACTGATGACGTGTCACTACCTAGGATCTGGGTAGTGACACGTCATCAGTATGGAATTTTTGCAATCGTTTATCAGATGTGTCTTCCAGGGAAGATGTGTCTTCCAGCTAGTAAGTTTTGGGCAGTTTTTGCAATCGTACAAATTGTCAACCGAAACTAACAAACAAACAAGAATTGTTGTGAGTGTTATAAAAAATAACATCATGGGATCATAACAGGGTGGATCCAAGATGGCGGCTTATAACAGTCGAGACAGAATTCCTACATTATATTACATCAACAAGGTTGCACAACTACTTTTTACCAAAAAAGAATGTGATAATCACTGTTGTGTGCGTCATTTTCTTTTTTTTTTCAGTATCGCTGTATAAAGGAACACCAACTACTTATTTCCAAGATGTACCGTCTTAAACGTTTTGACACTGATAAAACTGGATAAAATATTACTAAGATCATTAGAGTAAATAAAATATTGAAGATTATCATTGCTCTCTTTCAGTGTAGTTTCTGCTATTATTGTTGCTATTTTCTTGTTTTCACTTTCTTCTTATTCCATTACGCTTTTCATATATTTCTGTCCTTAGCATCTGGTCTCTACCAATCAAGTGCATTTGTGAACCTGGTCCTTCTAGCAACGTACATTTCTTAGCGGGTTCTTAACCGGAGCCCATTTGTAAAACTGATTTCAGTCTTAGTGACACATCAAAATCCCTTTTAAAAAATTCAACTTCTAATTGTCCTATCCTTTTACCTCCATTGAAGCACCGGCTAAACGATCAAACATTTTCGTCCAACATCGAATTTGTTACGCACAACATGGGGGAGCTATTTAACCCTATTCAGAATGGTAGGACGATTTTGAGACAACCCTTACAAAGTTGAAAATGAAAACCGATCAAGCTGTGAACGCTATCTTATTGAATTTTTCTAATATTTATCTGGAAACATTTTGAAGTCGACGTGACGCGTACGATATCGTCCCGAGGGCTTTTCCCTAAAAAAGTGGGAAAAGCCCTTGGGACGAGGTTGACCATGGCAATCGAGTTTTGACATCCGTGTTTAGCAAAATTTTGCAAAGTTTTGTTTCTATTTTTACTAATTAAATTATTAAATTACACTTAATTTTGCCTTATTTTATCAAATCATTTATGTAATCCAGGCTTTTTAGCGACAAATTTGAGGAAAAACAGATTTTAAGTAAAATGGAATACATATAATTAATTCAAAATGGAGGATCCAAGGTGGTGAATAGGTCCAGATGAATGCCATCATCGTGATAACACATTATTAATGTGTTAACCAACTTCCTGGTTTTATGAGACACATTATTTAAGTAGTTTTTCGCTTTATATCTACTTTGGAGGGAAATTGGATTCTATCATCAAATTCAACAATGTGACGCCATGATGACGTAAAATTACGTCATTGTGTCAATTAAGTTATGCCTAGGTGTTGAAAATGATGAGTATAATATTTTGTGTAATTTCTGTGACCGTATCATGAGCGGTTTTGAAGTTATAAAGTGGGGCCCTACGACCCCTACCCCCCATCCAATCCCCCTGGTCCACTCCCCTCTTGAAATGAACTCGGCTTCTGTACGTTACTCCACCAGTCATGGAGTCATAGAGTAGTCGCGTAAATCAAGTTATCAGTTCGCTTCAACAATTTGCAATGCACCTCGCTATTTGCACATCTGCAATAACACACATTGTGAACCCAGGAGTCATTTCAAAAGTAGTTTGAGTTTGATCGGGTAAACGTAGTCCTGAATAGGACTGTTGTTGTTGAGGACTAAGTTCACCCGGACGATCAAACTCAACCTAGTTTTGATAATACATATTGTTTGCCCCTAAAAATTTTGCATAAGCATTTAAGAGACGTAAAGTCATGTTTACGGCAAACGTAACTTGTATCACGTAACCAAGTTTTCCCTTCACAGTCAAACCCCGTTAATAGTCTTAGTACGGACCCTGAGTGGGCCATAAAAAGTGTCGGAGTGTCTGTATTAAGCGGTTTAAATGTAAGGGCTTGGGAAAAGAACAACTGTCCCTTGTAACAAGGTGTCCGTATATAAGCAGGAGTCCGTAGGGCGGGATGCGCTGTACTTGCCGTTTTTTGTTCATTATACCTACACTAATATCTGTTAGTTTCACTTCAGTTTTATCCATAAGAATTGCTTTGGACTGTTTTTATCTGCCCATTTTCTATTTTAGGAATTCTGTAACACCAAGGAGAAATTAAAAACAAAGGTTATGCAAAATTTTGGGAGGAAGGGGCGGGGGGCGCAAACAGGGTGTATCATGGCAGATGTGCAAACGGGGAATTAACTTGCCTAGTTTGGAAGTTACAGTTTCGTTTCTTGATAAATAGGCGTTAAAAATCGTCCTCACACACTTTTTTACTAAAAAAGATTGAAACTACTAGGAACTGCAATAGCATTTCAAAGCACCTCGTTTTCTACAGATAACGGCTGAACATCAAGAGTGTCCAGTTTTCACTGTATTTCTGATCATACCACATGGTCAGATCAATCACCTGTGAAATTTAAAAACCAAGTCGATTATACCACAAGAAGTCATTTTAGCTCTGTTTGTCAAGACGAAAGGACTTTTAGTTAACAACGAGAGTGAATAACCGTGAAAAAAAAATAATACTGAAACGAGTTCGGCACTGAGCTCTCCCAATATACACAGCTGTTTACACGTACTGTTTTTCACACTAGACGTGAACAGCTGTAGCCGATAGCGAGGCCATTACACCAATTTAGAAACGACAATAGAAATACTGAAAGGAACGACCACCAGCCTTTAATGAATGCTATTTTTGGCTGTTAAAAAATGTCGGAGGTATAATGATTTTATTCGCAGCTCAACTGGAGACGAGGACCCGGCAAATGTTTATACTTCGATTATACGATAACTCATTCGGAGTATCTCTTGAAAATTTACAGGAGAGTGAATTATCCCTCCTGAAAATAAAATCTTCTACCAGTAGAAACGAAACACGCGAAGCTTGTGCTTCCAAAGAGGCTATTTATTAGCGAACACGTAAGCATTCTTAAGCTGCTTATTTTGGTTTGTTAAGACAACCGGCAACGCGAAGCGGAAATAGTAACAGCTGAATTTAAAAACGGAAACACCTGGCCGAAAATACCTTCTTGTAATCCACCCCACTTAAAATGAAAAATAAAATGCATCCTACCAACAGTACAGATTAGTATCGAAGCGTTTTGTGATGTTTTTTATTTAGGCTTGATTTTGAGTTTCTGAGATACTACAATAGATTTAGCCCGCACGCGTACTTCACGGGATGATCTCTTCTTAGGCACGAATTAAACCACACGAGAGACCACTCTCCCACAAAGCAATGAACAGCGTAATGATTCGGAAACATTAACAATCGAATTCCGTTTTTGCAATGAAAGTCTCGATAAAACTATGCCCTCAAAATAGAAGAATGTCACCTTTAAAGTTTAGGTCAGACATGCCAACAAGTTTATTGAAAGCATTTTTTTAATCCACCACAAGTTTGCTTTTATCGCCAACTAAGCAGGACGCCCCTCTTTTAAAGTTAATATTTATGTCTGAACATTGTAAACCAATAAAATGGATAAAAATATCCTCCAGAGGAGTAGTTCGATTCTTTGATGGGAGTTTTCTCCCCTGCCCACTCGGTTGCACATTAAGCCCATTTTCGCTGTCTTAGTTTACTCCATACTTTGAAATAAAACCCTTGCTTTTCATAGACAGAAATGCTCCTTTTCCTTTTAGTAGTTGGCCAGACAAGAAATTTGCAAAATTTTCCAATCCTGCAACTGAATATTTTTGTCATCAAAAGGCGTTGAGAACTCGTTAGCCATACATTGTTTTTTGTTAGGTTATTCATGTGTAATAGTGATCATCTTGTCGTAAAACTACAGTGTCTTTCAACAGCAAATAATCGAGCTTTCAGGACTTTATTTCTCTATTCGCTCCTCCCCCTTCATTACCCGGGGGGCTGCTCGCCAACGTTTAGTACCGGCAAGCTCTTCCCCGAGGTCCAACCCCTTCTGCTTTTATATGTACCATTACCGACAGAGAAAGGGACCCCTTTCGCGTACCTTCCCTTTATAAAATGGTGCCACAGTCACATTCATACTACAGTAAGTCTTCTGCTTATACCATGAAGTTTGTAATGAATTAAAATGATACAGTTGTAACGTTGGACTGTGAGGAATATTTTAAATAAAGGCCGTTTTAAATACCTAAATGTAAAATACCCGGGGCCTTCGGGGTAAAATCTCCCTACCATTTCGTGACTCAAGCTAGTGGAGTTCCTACCCTTTCATATACTGAAGCCTGAAAAGCTGGTATCCTCTTTCGGCCGGACGGAACTTCCCCCTCATAGGAAATCACAGGGAGTACCGTAACCCCGCTCCCCAAGAGGTTCTTCACTGCATGCAATTCTAAAATTTGACCAAGATTTTAAGCTTCGACTGGAATGCTAGTGGGTGGCAAGTGGCCAAATTGGGGCTTGTCACTAATTATTCACGGAAAGAAAGATAAAATAGACACTTGGGATTAACCTTGCTTTTTCAGGTTCGAGCTTCTATCTTTAACAATCTGGATACAAACAAGAAAAGTTCAATAATACTCTGGACGCCATTTAATGATTCTTTCCGCGCGTAACAAAATCACAGTAACTAGATGTCCTGCTTTCAAAGTTTTTTTTCCTTAGAAAAGAAAAGAAAAATTGAAACTTTATTTCGAAAGCATTTTTGAACACTTGTCGGGTGTTGTTAAATTGAGAAAGTTTCTTCTAAACTGAATTTGATCTTACTAGGGAGTTATTTTAAGCTTGGTAGCTGACCACACATAATTGATGATTACATGTTTCTGTCTCTCAAAGTGTCCTTTTCGGAAGCCAGGTTTTCTTCCATTGCTATCCTGTTATATTTTCAAATAAGAATCCATGACATTATTTATTGTTATATATCAAGATAGGAATTTCCTTTTTCGCCTCTTCTTGATAATGATCCAGCAAAACACGTGACTCCAGATCTCATTAGCACTCAGCTCGCCAAGTTCACAAAAACCTTCAGAAAATCTTCTTTGTCTTGTAACCCGGTTAAAATAGATATCCTTATCAGCTCAGAGCCAACCGTATTTTAGGATGGCTCATCTAAAAGTTTAAAAGGCCATGTTATAATTAATTACTAGTAACAAAATTCTTTAGTACGAAAGTTGTTGTTGTTAGTCAGTTTTTTTTTTTCAATAGGGAGCTGCCGAATTATCTGCTGCACTTCCATGTTAGCCGAACAAATGCGTTTTAGCGTACCCTGAACCGATCCACTGTCAAAGATGCGTGTGGATGGTGTTAATGAGAGAAGAGGGGAGACCAAGAAGTTGCCAAAAATACACACAATTCATTTCCAGGCACTCGTCTTATGAGTACCTGAAGAGGTATTTTACAAAATCATTCTTTACAGTAGCCCCGGACTCGAGATTTATCAGTGATCGAGACTCTCGCGCCTTGACCAAGAAAACCGGACACATCTTGAATCTCTGAAAGTCAGACCATTTTTCCGGAGATGCAAATGCAAGTTTCCTTTCTATAAACTCTACGTGAATTTTTAAGTCTGTGGTGGTTAACTTATTGGACCTTTAAAAAACAAATCTACCACAATGCAAGAACTAAACATGAATGCGGAAAAATTAAGCTTCGAATCCCCACTTCCAGTGCGTGTTACCGTGTTATTCAGTTTGAAAGCATACAATTGATTTTAGATCGGAGATTACTTAAATCCAAATATTTTGCTTTGGGAAATACGATCCTGAAATATTTTATTCAAGCCAATTTGTTAAGTCAGGCAACATTTTGTAACACTAGCTGTACTCAGTGTGTTGCAAATCATTGGGCCGATAAATCGGAGATCAGTTCTTTGGAGATATGGGTGAGTTGACTGAGCTAAGTATTCAATATTTTTAACTCGTTATTTCTTTAGGGCCTATTAATAATTTTACGCTAAATTTTGAAATTAATGTTGAAGAATTTTGTAAACTATTTCCAACATTTACAAGAGAGTTGAGCACACGGTTCGGAATACTGCAAGGCTGATTATAACGGCCACGTAACACGAAGGCATAAAAACGGAAGTGTCGACGCTTACCTTTCTTTCAATATGCAATAACGATGAAAAAATTTTTACTAATGACTTTCCTCAATTGATTAAAATCCGAAATCAGGTCTTTAACTTGAAAATTAGTATTAGAGGAATTAAGACAGAAATGCACGAGGATCGGAGTCGATAATCTGCACTCTCAAGTTATTTCGTTTTAAGACTACATGGCTTTTAAAGAGTTATATGTTAGATCGCTTAATTATGACACGCTTGATGGCTGCGTCACAAATTAAAATAATCATTCGCAGATTTATGAGAAAAAGGAAAATTCCACAGACGAATTTATTATAATTTCGTTTATATATATCCTTATATATATTTGCTAAATGAACAAAAATGTTTCCAACTGCATGATCTTATTCGTGGAATGCCCAACGATAAGGTATAGGGAAACAACATTGTAATATGGACGAAGGTAAAGTTTCTGCATAATTTTCATAAAGACGGAGAGGGTCAAGAGTTTTTCCGGTTTTGTTCCGTGCCGGGATAAAAAAAAATCCTAGATTAGGAGCTTAACTGAAAGCTTTCATCAAATTTGAAACAAACGTAACGTGACCACCCCGCCGTTAGGCAATACCTTCCGAGATATAATAAGTTTAAGAAGTCTAATGAACTGGCTGGAATTTTTGTTCAAGAAATTCTCCAAAATCTCAACAAAAATTCCAGTTTTACAATCGGCGAACAATTAATCAATTACTTGATTAGCTCCGGTCAGTTTCAATTCGTACGATTTCTCTCGAAGAGAAGACTTTAGGCTAGTGCTGCAGCTCGAGCCGTATCGGAGAGAAACTGTGAGGCGTGGTACATGTATTATTGCATGTACAGAAACAAACATGCTAATGAACGATCACATCTCACTGATAGGAGACAAAAACAACCTTCATGACAAGATGGAAAAGGGAAGGCCGAGAGAGCTAAAGGTCTGTGCACATTGCAACAAGAAGATCGAGGGGAAGTTTATGCTGCGCGCTTTGGGTCAGTTTTGGCATGAGGAATGTCTAAAATGCTCCTATTGCAGCACCCAGCTGACAGATCTGAGCTTCAAGTTTTACCTCAAAGGAGATTTGATTCTTTGCAAACGAGACTACATCAGGTGAGAGCTCCGCTTTCTTTGCTGTTATGATTAGACTGCTATCAGGGCGTTTTAAGGTTGCTACCTAGTCGGTCGAGAGCGTGAGCAATCACGGCGAAAACTAAAGGGGGGCCGAACGGATTTCCTTCGTTTTCTCGTATAAGAGCGCTCGTAATATGCCCGTCGCGGGCGACCATGCTGAGGCAAGAGGGGATACAAAGGTCCTTCATCCACTCTTGCCTGATCGGGAGACCGGCCTTTCAGCATCCTCAAGGGCCTGCTTCCTTAATTCACAAACAAAGGAAGGAGAATATTATTTTCAGTTGATAGCGATCTGAGATCTTTAGTGAAAGTGTTGGGCAAAAATATTTACAAAACTTACAGGTGCGCGTGTCAAAGAGACAGATGTTTTAGCCGAGAATATTCGTCCAAGCTATAATATTCCTGTATGTATGACATGCACAGATGCCAGTGAAACCTAATCGATGAAACTGTACGTCGGCTGTTTATAAATAAGCCACTGTGGGTTCAAAACAAGTACTTTTTGAGCAACCAATTCATGAATAGTTGCTGTCCAATGTCCTCTAGGCCTGACGAAAGTTCCCGTATATCGTAAACGGCACATTATTATCATGTGACTGAAGGTACTTTTTGCGGAACTTCTTCAAAACTCAAACATGGGAAGAAGCACACAAAATTGTTACATATTTAGATTACTGCCGTGAGTTAGCTCATGATCACATCGTTACGTCATTTTAACCGGACGATCTTTCTTTTGTTTGACGTTACTTCTTGATTTTATTGTCATCAAAGGCAGGGAGAAAACATTAGGTATTTTTGCCTGCTGGTCCAGCTGCTGACCATTATTTTCGTATTACCGATCAAAATTTAAAACTTATAAATTCAAAAACCCCGGATATCGTCGCAGGTGTGTCTCAAATTGAAGACGAGGAAAAGAGAAAAATAAAGTTTCCGAAAGGAATGACAAAAAAATGGCAACCAGCTGTAAGTGCTCTAAATCTGTCAAAGAAATCTACTAGCCAAATCAAGTAAACACGCATAAGAGACGTTTTCTCGATCTACCATTTCTTAATTCGTCGACCTTGTTAGTCAAAAGATATAGAACAGTGTTGAAAAAACGCCAATTTCAATGTTGAATTACGCTATCCATGTGCTGAATGTTGCCGAGCGTTGTTGAAGGGACTTGAGAGATGGGCTTTTTAATTCCGTTCAACAAGATAGCTTCAACGTACCTTTGTTGATTATCAACTGCTGAATCCTGTGTCAATGGGTTTAAAGAGACAAAGGCTATTTCCTAGTGAGGAGAAAAGCCCAGTTAAACGTTTATGCACCGATGTAAAGATTAACTCAAGATACGAGTGATTTACAAGGTTTTTATGACTTTTCACATGCGCCGAAACCCGACTTCCTTCTTGTACATGTCAGGAGAGGGAAATGATTGCAAATCGTCCAAGTAATTCGGGGAATTACTAATAAGTTGGGATCGTAAATTTTTCAAGTTCTGTCATTATGATGTTTCGAAACAATTTTGGCAGCTTCCTTCCCTCCAAGAGTTCACTTGAGATATATCTAGCATCTATCGGATTATGCTCGTGAAATCGAGTATCTCCCTTCCGGCATCACCCATAAAACCTACTGTGGCGGCACAGTAATGTCAAATGCTCAAAATTATCCTAGCTGGAGGTGTTATGCAGCTCCTCAGTCTGCCGGACTAAAATAATCCCTTTCTTTCCCGAGCACTATCAAAAAGACATCCTCAAACAGGTTAACGGATGGCTGGGGCTCCTGCGGATGGTTCATGTATTCATTGTTACTTTTCAAAATTGATTTCAATGGAACAGAGCGTTATTCGCTCCATTACAGGTAAAATTTTCCTGAGAAAGTCGTAATTGTTTTAGACTTCCTGTTTTTTATTCAAAGGAACCGAAACTGCTGCTCTCATTATACTTGATTCTGTTGTCATGGAGGTGAATACTGATAAAGTTTGTCAAATTAGGTAACAAAAGAACTGCCCGTAGTAGAGAAGTGTCTGTGTCGTGCCAAGCGTAACAGAAGTTGTACTGTATTTTTGTCGTTGGGACTTGGGGCGGTTTGTTTTTCTCTTTTCATGAACAACCCTTGAAGAGCACTGAGATGGGTATTCTCAAGAGTCAAACCAACAACACAACATTAGGTCTGTCGAATTTTGCCGGCATAATCTTGAGCATCAGGAACATCAGGAACAGGACGGCATAATGTCGGAATAACACGCAATTTTTGTTGTTGTTAATTGTTGCTGTTGCTTTCAGCATAATGAAATGCTGCTCTTTTTTTGCTATTCTGAAAGCTTCATGCTTATTTTCCAGCCAATGCGAGCCAGAATGAACAAGGCTGGTAAACGCAAGGACATTTTGAAGCTAGCCATGAAGAACTTGTACTGTGACCTTTAATTAGAGAAACAGGACTAGCTAGTGCCTAGTGAATTTTGGCCTAGTCAAGGCCTGGTTATCTCCTTATTCGAGCCCTTCAATGACATATTTTTTATCTTACAAAAGTCATAAAGGCAAAGACCATGAACGAACATGTAACCCGCATTTTATCTTTAAACTACAAAACTCATTTGGTGGAATTTGTCACTCCAACGTGCCTTGTTGGATCACTGGAAGTAAAAATCATTCTAATCAGACAAATGTGCTATTCCTTTTGTCAGCGTTTTTAAGGGGCTCACTTAATGCTATGGTGAGTTCACCTTCACATTTTTGAAGCGAAGTTAGAAGGGAAAGAACTGAGCCCGTTTGTTATCGGATCAGTGGGATTAGTGGGATTCGCGATTCCTTGAGCAGTTTTGCGGATTCCAAAGCCAAGAATTCCGGACTCCACAAGCAAAATTGTCCCGGATTCCACTTTTCCGATGCAAAAAATTACCGGATTCCGGAATCCAAATTCCCTTACTTGGGGAGAAACACGACAAAAGTTGAACTCAAAGAAGTTAGTCCACTTTTCTCAGGTGAACCATTTCCATCCTGGTTATTTCAAATATAAAAAAACATTGTGTTACTGTTTAGTGAAGGTAGCAGAGAGAAACGTGTCGTAGCTTCTTCAAATCACCTCATCAGCCTAGTTAGTATTATGACAAACTCCTGTTCCTGAAGAACATCCCTACAAGATGCCACGTATGCATATCGAAAAGGCTATTAACCTTGATCTCCTGACATTGTTTTCATTTATTTATTTATTTTTTTTGATCACCAAGAAAGAACACCCATCCTAGCTGATTGTTATACAATGTCTCTGTGACCTTGGCATAGAAACAAAAGTAAAAGAAGTTGCTAAAGGAAAAACAAGGGTTATCTCCAAGTACACTTTGAAATAAAATATCCGGCCATCACGATCCTTATTTAATATATGACAATAGATGTACTGAATAAATCAACAAAATCCTTGTTTTTATATTCTAGTTTTTCACTTATTTTTGCTTAGACATTGTTGTTTAAACAACGTTTGAACTGCTGGGGAGATTACGTAACGTTCATGAACTTGCTCTTATACTTTGGCACTCGAGGAGACACCAGTTTCGGCTGTAACTGTTTATTCAAAAGCATCAATCAAAACAACCGCTTTGTCAGGAACTAGCTAAAGCCGTGTATCATCGGCAATCATATTCACAAAAAAGAAAAAAAAATCTTAATCATTTGTCATGAACTGAAACGGTAAATATTTATGGCTTCTGGCTGTATCAGTTTTCGGAGAGAACTAAAAAATTGCTCAATCGATATTAAGAACTTTAGCAAGAAATAATATTATCATACACAGAGTCTCTTAGGGACTCTTATCAGACCTTTTAAAAGTGCATTATTTTTACTTATCGAAAGTTTATTTTTCCATGAGATGTAGAACACTATTTTAGGTTACATCAGAGCTCATGGACCTCACAAGGAGGCTAAGCTAAGTTTCCCTTAACGGCAAGATTAAGAAACAAAGTGTTCAATTATGATGTACTGACAGGCGTTCGAAAAGAGGGGCAAGAACCATTCAAGAGACCTTAATTCTTTCCCTTAAAATAAGTCTTGAAATATGGCTAAACTGCAGATGACTTAATAGATAGGAGACCGACTGACTAAAGCTCATGAGGACTACTTGTTTAAGTAGCTGAACCGTAACGGCCTTAAATCCCGCTAGACGAAAGAGAGAAGAGCCAGCCCACCCCAATTGTACTCCGCGGTAGCTCGGTTATTCATAACATCCGGGATTGCCGGTTCCTTTGCTTTGCCCAACAGAAACGTGATTTCCTGTTTCATGCTAAAATTATGTTTAAAAAAGTGCAGGTGGTGTGGCTCAATTCCTTTGGTAGCACGTAAAACATAGCCTTTCCGTGACTTTTTCCAGTCGCACCTCTCTTTGCGGATACCTTACTATTACCGACAGTTCTCCCACTGTGTGGTCACAGAGATACCAAACTTCAAACAGACACCACCTCTATAATAAGGACACTTCTCTATCACGGACAGTTCTCCCAGTCCCACAGGGGTCCCACAGATATACAAAACTGCATAAATCCCCATATTTGTCATATGGACATAAATAACTACCTAATCTACAAACACCACACCTCAGTAATACGGACATCTCACCATTAAAGAGAGTTTTCTTGGTACACAGATATACAAAACTGCATTCAATGACCAATAATAGGGACACAATACATAATCACCTGATGTAATACAATCATCACATCTATAATACGGACACCACTTTATTACGGACAGCTCTTCGTGGCCCCACAGACCCCAACTGCGTGCATTTCCCATATCTGTAATACGGACACAATAGGATCACGTAACACTATAAAATCACCAGTATAATACGGACAGTTCTTGACGATCCCACAGATATAACCAACTGTATACATGCAATTCCCATCGCTGTAATGCCGACGCCTTTCTAATATCAACATTTCGTTGTCCTTACGAGCTAGGTTTAACCTTAGTGGCCGGAAGTGGTGCGAAGTCTTCTCGGATAAGGACGATAAACCGTAGGCCCCGTCTCACAAGCCCTTGCACATGTAATAAAAAAAAAACAATCTGTGGGACGTTAAAGAACCCACACACTCTTCGTAAAGAGTAGGGCACGTGGTGCCCAGTGTAGTGGTCTATCTCACTTCATACTCATGTATGGGGCATCATAGTACTAATTCCTTCATTACTTGTAAACTGCACCTTAAGCAGTCTGGCAACAGCAGCAGTCCCCCCCAACCAGTGTTGTAAATTATCCCTGAAAAGCCCTGAGGGGAGTGGATAATATGATATTTACGTTTACACATTTATATTACACATTTACAATGGAGTGGGGAACGTTCCTTCCCTTTTTTCAGCTCCGTTTCCTATTTACAATTCTGTTTTCTTCTGCATTACTTCTGCGTAATACTTTTTGTTTTTTGCATCACTTTTTATTATTTTTGGTCTCTAGATTTTATTTCGGCTACTATTGGCAGTAAAAAGGTTTAGAAAAATGAGAGTGAAATAGTACTGTCATTATAACGCTTTGTTTTTTTGCAGATTGTTCGGGGCCACTGGAGTATGTTCATTATGCATGAAGACCATACCACCGCTGGAAATGGTAATGCGGGCTCGTGAGCATATCTACCATCTTGACTGCTTTGCTTGTCAAGTTTGCCGCTACAGATTTTGTGTGGGTGACAAGTTTTACCTCCATTTTAACACTGTTCTCTGTGAGGCAGACTATTATGACCTGTCGAGCTTTTTTAATCAATTACATCATCACTTCTAAAGTCTATCACAACTTGAGCACACTTCCGTGCCGAACTGAAGAAGCGCATTTAGCGTTGTCAAAGAAGACATAAAATTAATACAATCCAATCAGGAAACGAATGAGCCTGTCAGGGCGACGTTATTGTACCACTATGCAATTTCGCTGATTGGTGTATTTGTAGCAAGACATTTGTAAGTAGACAGGATACTTTAAATAATATTAGGAAGCTTCAGCAAGCACAACGACCAGTTTAGTATTAAAAACATTAAAAATCAATTGGTTTTTTATGTAAACAACGACCCTGGCATCACACTGTTTTGTACATTTCTTTGACGTCATATGCACGACGGTGACTAACGCGGACATAAGACTCGCTAATACGACGTCGTTATGATGGAGGATGAGAACACACGGCGACGAATTTTCCTTTCTCTTTTGAATTTGGATAGAAACTTTAACAGTTTCAAGCAAAACTCGTCTACATTAACAAATAAGAGTATAAGAGAACGCGCATTCATTTTTTAGTGACGCGTTTCAGTGTCGTAGTCGTTGTCGTTGGATGCATGATATTCTGGGGCAAAGATGGTAAATGGCCACATTTGCCTAATAATTTGCACCTCCTGTTTTTTGGTATTCAAATGTGGCATTTACCATCTTTGCCCAACATTTACTCCTCAGTTTTTTCAAAAGTTGCGATATATTTGCAAAGGGCAAATTTGTACAAATCCATTTTTTCGTCCAGTGGTCAGTGCCATGATGTGCAATAGAATTAAACTGATCCGTATTACTTTTGATAACTAGATAAACGAAAAGACAAATATATAAACAGGAAATAGCGATTAAAATGCGGGAATACATTTATTAGTATACAGGAAGGGTCTATTGTATAGGTGCGGTAGACAATTAGATACTAGACTTGCCATAGCTCGAGCTATGAATTGATTAGGACAAGGGCGCAAAAGGGGCGACAACAGCGAAGGACTTTTTGGAAGTCTAGGGGTTACTAAAGCATACCTTCCTTAGGCCACTCGTAGACCAAGAGGCCTTGGGCCTCTGGATGCGAGAGTGTTGTTAGTATGTAAGTAACAGATTCAGACCTCGGTCAACAAAAAATAGGATTGCGAAAATAGGATTTAACAGTTTAGTAAATAATACAGTCATCAACTGATTTTACTTCTTCTTTTCCTAATTTCCCCTTGCATTGTGCAAGCCGGAGGGATTGTGTTGAGATTCCGGGACGTTTAATTTCTTTCAGCCTCAGAGCCAAGTACGAATTTTGACAATTCGAAAGTAGCCTATTGACATCCCACCGGAGCCGGGAATGAAAACCAACCCGGGGTCCAAGGTTTATTTCAGGAGGATAGCCGTCAGTTCCTAACTTGGCCCCTCAAAGGAGAGACGTATTTCAATGAAAGCCCTAGGGGCATGACAGATAGGAATCTGATACAATTATGATATAATCTTGGTATCGTTTCCTTTGTATCAAGGATATGTTATATGCTATTATTCATCTTCATGGTGAAGGTCACTACGCATTGTCTTTAGTCCCTTCCCTGCTTTCCTGCCTAATTTCCGCAGATAGAGTTACAAACCTTCATGGTTATTTGTAAAAACTGATGAAAACCCGTTTGTTCGTCAAGAACATCTAATTTTGTTTCGTAGTTGTATTGATTTTTCTGATGTCAACCCTCGTTCTTTTGTTCCCTATGTCTGTCATCTCCTACTCCTCACCTGCTACCGCTTACCCTATTCTGACTTTTACTCCCTCTAGCTTTCCATTATGCTGAGCATATCTGTACCCCCAGCTGAATACCTTTAAAAAAGTCCCCTAAAGAGGAGAGGAGACAAGGAAAGTAAAAAGTGCCTGGTAGTTTTCCCCTAGGAAAGTTCCTAGGGGCTGCAAAAAATAGTCTATGTTTGTTGTCACGAGGGTAGGTACCGTCTGGACCTCATTCCTCCGCTCACGTCTTACTATAACAAGAGAATACCACTCGATAAGGCAAGGTTTTCGTTATACAGAGGCTCCTTAGATTGCAGGAATCGGGTTTTCACCGACCGTAAACACCACCTTCAATTAACCAGAGGAGAGATACTCGCTGGCTCGTGACCCATATAGGACACCATTCCAAGAAATGAGAGGCCTTCTTGCTCATTTCCAGACATTGTCAATCTTTATCGATAAAAAGTCTTGTATAAAGTTTGCAATAAGTTTGTGTTACAAACCAGATTAATTTTACCGTTGTTTATTACAGTTATTACTAACTGCTTATTTTTGTCCTGAGAGCGCACTTTAAACACCGCCCTTAACCGGAAGAATTTGCCACTCTGGTGCCATTGAAGTTGGATTATGTTTCTCGAGGTTAAACTTCTAATTTTTGCTTTGAACTGGCCAAAACGCTTCCTGTTTTGATGTGATTTGAATGACATAAAGTTCATTAGCAATAAGTGTGGATTATTTTGTTCATCGCGCCACGTTTCAATCTCTTTATAGTTACCTCATATTTTTTATGGCGGATGGTCCTGAATTAAACTGCACGTTGCAAATGGCGAAGGTGTGCAGTCTACATTGAAAGCACGCTACAGTTTTCAGGTCTACAACGATTATGTTCATCCAAAATTTCAGTATATGACCATCGTGCATAGAAACACGATCTTCAACCACTTTGAAAAGTTGATTTATCGAGCTTTCAGAATATTGGGCTGGGAAGCTCTCTGTCAGATAGACCAGCGAGGGTTTCAAGGCCTTAGTCTACACCTGTCAAGAATGAGTAGTAAGTGTAATCATGCTATTTGTCACTTTATATCGTGCTCAGTTTTACTTGTATATTTTCTCTTTATCGTTGCATTTCACAAACTGATTGCAGTTCATCAATCCAGTCACACAGTGATTAATGATTCTTAACACAGTGAAGTTTTAAAGCAAATGTAAACGAGATATGTCTACTGAACGTCTGAAGCGTGTGCTTTATTTATTATGGTTAACTTGAAGTTTGTTTCTTCTAAACCGCAAACGCTTCATAAAAGGCTTCACTGATTCAGTGATGGCGGAAGCAATCAATTCTCAATTTCCACTAATGAATGACTGATACACAACTGTCTTAAACGTTCTCTGAAAAATGTATACATTAATTTGGTGCACATATGATTTTTTGAGACGGACCATTGTCCTCTTAAAGAAACGCAGAGTGTTTTGTCTTCATACAACTTCAATTTTGCCTAAGACAGTTTATATTCAATACGAGGCAATACGTATACATTACCTTTTTACAGTTTAAAATGCTTCTTAAACGATCAGAGGCCCTTAATGTAAATAATCTGTTTACATAAGAATGTTTCATTTAGCCGCGAACCATATTTTGGGGAAAGTGGACGAAAAATGAACCAGTTGATTTTAAGACCACTTTGATGAAATGCGCTTTGATTTTTTGCATAATTATATGCTAGTACATTGTATGAACTTTAATTTTAAGATCATTCAACCGTTTGTGAGTAAGATCCGGCTGAATTTTGATTGACTTTTGCCAAAATAACCCAAAACCAAAGGGTTGTGGTTAACTAAGTACAAATAATCAGCTACTGTATATATCATGCCCGCCGTGTTTTAAACTTGATGAAACACTGTTGCTCTGATGGTGAACATTTCGAACTGTTTTAGCCCTTTTACTGGGATCATAAGTCACGGAAAAAAGTCAAAATTCGACAATATTTCCAAATCCCAAATTGTAAAATGCTAGAACGCAAGTAGCACTATATGACAGTTCTAACAAAGAGGTTTTATTCGAATTCGTCCATCCACAGATTTAAAAGTTATATCTACGAATAAAAACAATTGCACCACCTGAAACTACGAATAATTAAATTTTCGCTCTTTTCCTGTGGAAACCAATTGAAAGCATCGTTATAAAGTACATAGGAATTTCACTCTGAGAAACAGGTCGCGCCGGATCGGTCAAAAAAGAAATTTTCAATACCCTAAAAATCGTTCTAGTGACCTTGCTTTTTACAGCTGATTGTCTCTTTATAAAAGCATTTTTTTTAAAAAAAATAGTACTTCACGTAATTTCTAATTTGAGCCCTGATAAAAGTTTTTTGGGCTTTGATATGGTGCTTTTTTCACCTTGATTTGCGTAAGTTATGCAAAAAAACAAAAAATTTATACAACGGGAAAATGGAGACTGGTTTATAGTCGAATCTCTCCGTAGTGATAACACCATTATGAGGCACCTCTCTATTGCAGACAGTTCTCTTGTTCTTAAAGATTATTACCAAACCTCATGCCATCCCTACCTCTTTAATACTGATAAATAATACTCTGTAAGGCGCACACTTGGCGCGTTCTTTGGCGTCTGTAATTAAGAGGTTTAACTGTATATTTCGCCCGCCCTCTGACACGTGCTTAACACTATACGGCACGCTCGAGACTAGCCATGCAGGTGACTATACCTTTGTCTAAAATTAAAAGTGCTTTTTTACACTTAGGCGATGAAAACAAGAGAAAAGACAAAAAAGCAGGACTAGAAAATCCGAGGAAGACTTGTGCACAGTGCTGCAAAAGCATCGAAGGAAAGTTTTTACTGAGAGCGTTGGATCAGTTTTGGCATGAAGAATGTTTGAAATGCTCGTACTGCAGCACACAGCTTACAGAACTAAGCTTCAAGTTTTACTTCAAAGGAGACTTAATCCTGTGTAAACGAGATTATATCAGGTGAGGATTCCTCTCTAGGTTAACGTAATATTTAGCATTGGCAAGAAGCTATTGTAGGGTTATCGATGTTTCCACTCAATTAAGGTATGCAAGTACAGTTTGCTGCCCGGGCTGCGTCTATACCAGAAGGTTTGACGTCACTTAACTTTGGCATGCTGAGCTAAGCCAACTAAGCAGAGAAGAAATTGTCAAGTTAAAATTGTTACAATTACCAGGCTTCAGTAATCTTTTTTACTTGTTGCAGCCCTTGAAAGAAAAACGAGCTACCTCAAGTTTAACGCTTCATTGTAAACTTAACGCCCAGTGGTAAAAAAAAATGCATAGAATGAAGGTCTTAATCGAATATTTTCTCTTTTTTGCATACTTTTCGTGAAGTCTGGCTGAATCTTGTTAAAAGCAAAATTGATATCTATTAGATTAGGAGATTTCTAAGACGGAAAACAGCTCTCAGCAGAATACGTCAACGGGCGGGATTTAGAGCTCAATGTCTGGACAATGATTTATACAGACAAAAAATATACTGACATTGAGGTTTGGACTTCTCATTTAAAGGCATCTTGTTTTGTAGACGGGAGGAACTTCCATTTACAAGTAGAAGATAAAGAGCAGAAGTTTCTTTAGTTTATTGTCTCTTAATTTTTTGCCGATTGTATATAGAGAATACGCACGTTTGGATAAGCGGAGGGCACTTCTTAAAACTTCAAACTAAGATCG